AACGCAGTGTCGGAGAAGTCTCGGGCAAGGAGACACGGGGCCAGAGGTTGAGCTGATGCGCAGCGTATCGGACTGCAAACGGCCACAGAAAATGGGGGGCAGCCGCATGGCTCAAGGAGGTACGAGCGACCTCCATGACCAGACCAATGCGGCGCTCAGCAACCCCATTCTGCTGTGGAGAGTCCGGAAGCGTGTACGACTGCTCAATGCCCTCCTGCTGACAGAAGGCCTCCAATAGGCCAGAGGAGAACTCCCCACCTCTGTCAGAGTGCAGACGCAGGACAGGGAAGTCGGAGCGGAAACGCTCACGGAGCTGGAGACGAGATCTGCGGATCCAAGGGATCAAGACATCAGGGACGTCACCCTTGGCGCGCAAGGGGAAGACCGTGGTGTAGCGCGAGAAGTCGTCAACAACAATCAGGAAGTACCTCTCCTGACCCTGACCACGGACGCGGGCTGGGCCCCACACGTCCATGTGGAGCGTCTGCAAGGGAGCAGTCGTCGAGGGAAAGGAGGAGGAGTGAGGAGCGGCGCGCTGCCGTCCCTCGACACAGGGAATACAGGGAGGAGCAGGCGAGTCGGGAAGGGGAGGGAGCACCCTGGGAAGACCAGCAACAAGGTTCCGTTTGTGCATGGCCCGAAGGCGCTGCACAGACGGGTGACCAAGGCGGTGGTGCCAAAGGACAGTCTCATGCGCCAGAGAGCGACACGAGCAGGGGGCGGACAGCTGACCTGACGCAGACGCAGACGCAGACGCGGACGCAGCTACCTGAGGGGACTCAGTGGTCAGTGTGTAAAGGTCCGACCCCGGCTCCCGAGTGAAGGTAGCCAGGTGGCGACCCGTCCGAGCACACGTGCAGTGTGTCACGCGCTCGTAGGCAGGGGTGAACTGGTGAACACCCCCGTCCTGGAGCTCGCACACTACCTGCCACCAAGTTCGTAGAGAACGAGGGGAGGTAGAGACCTGACAGCGTGCCGGACGGGACCGCCGGACAAGGAAGGACAGTGGAGGAGGTCGCAATGACCGGACCCCCAGAGGGGTCAGCAAGGGAGACAGCAACTGGCCGAGCGAGTGGCTCAAGGACAGTGCGGTCACGAAAGAAGGAGCGAGAAGCACCTGAGTCCAGTGTGAAGGTGTGCAGTGCTGCAGTCGACTCAGTACCAGGGGGGACGGACGCACGAGCACCTAGGGCAGCAGCCTCACCAGGACCTGTGGGAGCAGACGCACTAGCACCTAGAGCGGCAGCCGGACTGGCCTGAATGCCCGGGTCGGGCGGAACACGCAAGTACTGAGCACCCTCTCCACTAATAGACATCGCATACATGGCAGTGAGAATAGCATCAAAGTCTAAAGCCCAAATATCAACACCCCTCTTTTCCAGATCAGCCCAGCGCGGCAGCTCAGTGGCAGCAGGAAACTGAGTGCGCCACGCGTCGTTAAGGCGCGCGAAGCAGCGCTGCGTGGGGTGCGGCCTCCCACACTGCTGGCCGCTGCGGTCACCTGTGCGAATGACGTACGTGCAGATAACGCTACGCTGCGCATACCACTCACGGGCGGCCTGAAGCGTCGGGGCGGGCTGCTGACTCTGCCCTCCGCCAGTGCCTCCACGACCACCACCCCCACCGCCGCCGCCCCGGCCACCTCCACCCCTGCCGCCGCCACGACCACCTCCGCCTCCGCTGCCGCCTCCACCACCACTCCCACCGCTGCTGTCTCCTCCCCCACTGCCGCCACCAGTCTCCCCAGCCGCGCCTCCACTCCCACCGCCTCCACCCCCACCTCCTCCGCCACCACCCCCACCCCTGCCCCCCTTGTTCCTGCGGCGCCCGCTCGAAGCAGACGCGGTCCCGACCTTCTCAGCACCAAGAAGGTCGACAGCAGCAGCAGAGGCGACAGAGGGGAGGAGGGGGGAAGGGGAACACCCCTCAAAGAACGGGGTGCGGGGGTCGCCACGAGAGGTGCCTACAGCGACGATGCTCGCCTCAGCTGCAAGCAGTTCCTTCTCGAGGAGGGCAACAGTGAGCTCAGTGGGGGAGCGAGAGAGGAAGTGGTCCCTGACTGCGCGCAGAGAGTCAGGAAGGCGGGTGACGATGTGGTAGAGAGTGATCCAGAGTGGGGGGGGGTTGCTAGTGAGAAACTCGGCAGGCATAGCAGCGCGAAAGCGGGCCTCACTAGTCTTAAGGTGGGTGATGAGGTCTGCGACAGTGTGAAAGGAGGCTAGGTCGGGGAACAGGTAGGGGAGAGTGAGGCGGCCTAGTGTGGCAGAAGCGGGTGAGGAGTAGCGGGCAACTACAGCGGTGTAGAGGTCCTTAGCAGTCTTGCACTGGCCGAAGTGCTCGCGCTCGTCTAGCGGCAGGGAGTTGCGAATAGCAAAGCGAGCATGCGCATCACGGGTCTGCCACTGGGAACGCAGAGTGCTGTCAGCAGACGAGTCAGGGGCAGTGGCATGGCCTAGGGCGTGGTCGTACAGTGAGATATCTTCCTTGGCAGTGAGCTGTAGGAACAGGTGCAGGTCATCGAGCCAGGTTTCGAACTTCACTGGACGGCCCTCGGCATCGAAAGCTAGAACTGGCGGACTAGCCATAGTGACAGTAGCAGTAGGAGCAGTAGGAGTAGCAGTAGGATCAACAGGGCTGCTAGAACGGTCGACGCGGCTCGGTCGGGCGGCGCGGCTCGGTTCAGGTAGGGCGGCGCGGCTCGGTTCGGGCTGCGCGGCTGCGCGGAGCCGCTAAGAGGGGCGCAGCGGGGTCGAGGGGCCGTGTGGTGGCAGGTGACGGGGCCGCGGGGCCTCTAAGCGGGGCTCGACGGGGCCGTGGGGCCGCTAAGCGGGGCGCAGCGGGGTCGAGGGGCCGTGTGGTGGCGGGCGACGGGGCCGCGGGGCCTCTAGACGGGGTGCGCGCGGGGTCGACGGGGCCGTAAGCGGGGCGCGCGCGGGTCGACGGGGCCTCCGTGTGGTGGCGGACGACGGGGCCGCGGGGCCTCTACACGGGGTGCGCGTGGGGTCGACGGGGCCGTAAGCGGGGCGCGCGTGAGTTCGACGGGGCCGCGGGGCCACTAGGCGAGGCGCGACGGGGCCGCGGGGCCTCTAAGCGGGGCGCGATCGACGGGGCCAGCGGGGCCGGGAAAAAAAAAAAAGACAGCGCTCGAGGGCGCTAAGGGGGGAGGCGCTAAAGCGCACTCCGATAGTAGGGCGCACGAGGGCGCTAGTAGGTAGTAGGTAGTAGGTAGTGGTGGGCCCGAAGAGAAGTTAGGTCCTAGCGAAGGACCTGCTCTGAAACCATGTCAGAATGAACGGACTGGAATGATTGAACTAGCAGTGAAATCAGTACAAGTACCTAACCCTAGAATTGTGTACCCCCTAAAGGCTAACCCACTGTAGCCTAAACAACCACAACATATATAATGTTTGACAGGCCCTACCCTGCCCGCGCGCCCTGGCCCTGCCCTGCATGCGCGCCCGGCCCTGCCGTGCCCGCGCGCAAAGCCCTGCCCTGCCCGCGTGCCCGGCCCTGCCCTGCCCGCGCGCCCGGCCCTGCCTTGCCCACGCACCCGGCCCTGCCCTGCCCGCGCGCAACGCCCTGCCCTGCCTGCTCGCCGCCCCGCCTTCCCTCCGTGCTGCCCTGCTTGTCATCCGCCTCCATGCTTTGACCACTGTGACTCCTCTTCGTGGTAGCGGTGGGAGTGGTGGCGACGGTGGTGGCAGCAGTGGGAGTGGTGGTGGCGGCGGTCGTGGTAGTCGCGGTGGAGCTGTTCAGTGGGGAGTTTCTGGCAGTGGCCAGATGCAGCTGCAGCGGCGTCCGCGCGAGACCCTTACGTCCCAGCAGCTTCGTGAGTGGCCTTTTCAGCGTGGGACGTCTCGGAGTACTGCTCGCTGCCCGTACGTCATTCGCACAGGTGCTCGGGCTGGTCAGACTTGCAGGACGATTGGCCATACACAGTCCCGCTGCTTCGCCTATCTGAGCGACGCCTGGCGCGCAGAGTTTGGCGACGAGGCTGAGCTCCCCTGCTGGCTAGAGCTGCTTCGAGACAGAGTGGATATATTTGCTGTAGACTATGACGCTATCCTCACTGCCATGTATGCTTTGACTGAGGGTGACTGTTACCTGTGTGTGCCGCCCGACCCTGGTATAGAGGCTGCTGCTCTAGGTGCTAGTGAGTTTGCTCTCTCTGGTACTGCGCCTGCTGAGGCCTTGCACACCTTCACGCTTGACTCAGGTGCTTCTCGCTGCTTCTTTCGCGACAATACCACAGTCACACCACTCCCTAGACCCGTTGCAGTCTCACTGGCTGACCCCTCTGGGGGCCCAGTTCTTGCACGTTCCTCCACTGTTCTCCCGTGTCCGGCGGTTCCGTCTGGCTCGCTGTCAGGTCTCCACCTCCCCTCGTTCTCGACGAACCTGGTGAGTACCCCAGCTCTTCAGGATGAGTGGGTTGATACCTTTACCCCTGGAGGCCAGCGTGTGGCGATCTGTACGTGCTCCCGGACGGGCCGCCACCTGGCCACGTTCACCCGTCAGCCTGGGTCGAGCCTGTACACACTGACTACTGAGCCTCCTCAGGTTGCTGCGTCTGGTCAGGTGGCCGCGTCAGGTCAGGTAGCTCCCCCCTGCGAGTGTCGTCACCTGTCGCACCAGACTCTCCTTTGGCACCGCCGCTCTTCCTCGCTCCTGGTCCCCCTCCGGTAGACCCCCTCCCCCCTCATTGTCCTGCTCCCTCAGGTGTCTCTCAGGTAGACCCACTTCCATTGTCTAGGGGTGCTGAGCCTAAGCGTGCTGAGCCTGAGCGTGCAGAGCCTGGGGGTGCTGAGCCTGGGGGTGCTGAGACTGGGGGTGTTGCGCCTGAGCGTACTGAGCCTAGGGGTGCTGAGCCTAGGGGTGCTGAGCCTGGGGGTGCTGCGCCTGAGGGTACTGAGCCTGGGGGTGCTGAGCCTGGGGGTTTTGCTTCTGGGGGTGCTGAGCCGAGTTGTGTTGCTTCTGCTGTTGGTCTTCCGGGAGCCTCGATGCAGCGGTCTCCCCAGCGTGAGCCCCTCTCACCACAGCAGCTGCGCGAGTGGCTTGCCCGGCGCACCCGCCTTCGGAGTCGCGCTGCTGGAGCTGGAGGTGCTGGAGCTGGAGGCACTGGAGCTGGAGGCGCTGGAGCTGGAGGTATTGGCACTGGAGGTGCTGGAGCTGGAGGTCCTGACGCTGGGGGCTCTGGAGCTGGAGGCACTGGAGCTGGAGGCATTGACGCTGGAGCTATTGGAGCTGGAGGTGCTGGCGCTGGAGACGCTGGAGCTGGAGGCCCTGTGCAGCAGCGTGAGCCCCTCTCACCACAGCAGCTGCGCGAGTGGCTTGCCCGGCGCACCCGCCTTCAAAGTCGCGCAGGAGCTGGAGGCACTGGAGCTGGAGGTGCTGGAGCTGGAGGCACTGGAGCTGGAGGCGCTGGAGCTGGAGGTGCTGGAGCTGGAGGTCCTGGCGCTGGAGGCGCTGGAGCTAGAGGCACTGGAGCTGGAGGTGCTGGAGCTGGAGGCACTGGAGCTGGAGGCGCTGGAGCTGGAGGTCCTCACGTTGGAGGTGCCGGAGCTGGAGGCACTGGAGCTGGAGGCACTGGCGCTGGAGCTATTGGAGCTGGAGGTGCTTGCGCTGGAGGCGCTGGAGCTGGAGGTTCTGTGCAGCAGCGACAGTTTTTCTTGCCGCCGCCGCAGCTGTCCGAGCTTCCGCCTGAATCGGTGCTCCGTCAGGTTCTTAGTTGTCCTTCGTCCACTGCCCTTCACCCGGACTCGCCGCTGCCTGCCCCGTCCCGTTACACTGAGCAGCCGGTCTCCCTTACAGAGCGTCGTAAGTTTGTGTCCCGTCCTGCCTCCCCTGTGCGCCGTGCTCGTCGTGTCCCGCGTCCGCGTCCTCCTCCTGTGCCAGGTATTGACACTATGGCACTTCGTTCTTCCTCTGTTCCACTGCGCATCCCTCTGCCGGTCTCCTCCTGCGCCCTCTCTTCCTGACGTTCCGGACCCTAAGTCTGACCGTGTTCGTGCTGCCAGCCCTACTGTCACCCGTCTCCTGGCTACTGTTGTCACTGACCCGTCGTTTGAGTCTACTGCTGCGTCTGCCTTAGTTGCTGAGCTTGTGGACTTTGCTGCTGTGTGTCGTCTAGACTACGCCGCCAGTCTTGTTGCTGAGTCTGAGTCTGTCTGTCCTCCGTCCGTCGGAGGTGAGTGTGCTCTTAGCACGGACGTCCTTGAGGACAGGCAGGAGGACCTTGATACAAGGATACAAGGAATATGATACAAGGATACAAACAGATACAAGGATTTTATATGATTACAAGGAATATGATATAACTAACTGCTGTTGTAACTGCTGTTGTTGTAACTGCTGTTGCGGTTCGATACAGTCACGACTTGGGCAATTGCTCAATAACGAGTCAGATGTGTGTCCTTGCTGTTGTGCTGTATTTCGTCGAGTCAAAGGTCGCGTGACCTTTGACCTTTCCCTTAACTTCTTGCTATTACGTTTTGTCAACCTCTTCGGTTGTCTCGATGTTGCTTCACTGTAGTTCGCTTCGCTTGCAGCTCAGTGTTTCGACACATCAAAAGCGTATAGTACATTTTTCCAACACTATCCAAGCCCAAGAGAGTCGCAATTGCATGGCCTATTTGCCTGCCTTTCTAACCAAGGACCGTTCTTCTTACAATTTTTTTTTTTTTTTCCTTCCAATCTGATTCTTAGGGTTAGGTAGTTGCTGACCTACTCTTCGTAGGCTTGACGCGGATCGAACCCTATCTATTCCCCCAACTGGCCTGGTCCCAACTATCATGCATGTTTTTTTAGGCGCCTCAAAAGTCCCTCAACTGGCAGGTCGGCACAGGCTCACGCTCAGAGAAGATTCGGACGCACAACTACAAGGTGGGCATGTGATGCGGGCGATGGGGTGGGCATGTGGTGGGCATGTGATGCAGGCAATGGGGTGGGCATGTGATGCAGGCGATGGGGTGGGCATGTGATGCGGGCAATGAGGTGGGCATGTGATGCGGGTAGTGGGGTAGGCATGTGATGCGTGCAGTGGGGTGGGCATGTGATGCGTGCAGTGGGGTGGGCATCTGATGCGGGCAATGGGGTTGGCATGTGATGCGGGTAGTGGGGTGGGCATGTGATGCAGGCACTGGAGTGGGCATGTGATGCGGGCAATGGGGTGGGCATGTGATTCGAGAAATGGGGTGGGCATGTGATGCGGGCAACGAGGTGGGCATGTGATGGAGGCAGTGGGGTGGGCATTGATGCTGGCAATGGGTGGGCGTGTGATGCTGGCAATGAGGTGAGCATGTGATGCACATGAAAAGGAAGCCTTTCCATGCCTCTCCATCTCTTAACTCCTCCCCCTCTCCTCTCATTCCTCTACATCACCAGGACAACCGGGTATTGGACCATAGCACAAAGAGATACTTTCATCTCTTCCATGCACCCTCATTATCAGGACAAAATTCTCACCCCTTCCCCTTCCCGTCCCCCCTATCATCAGGACAACCGGGTGTCGGACCATTGAACCAAGATCAACTTTGACCTCAACTCGTTCCTCAATGGCTATTTTGACAATGCCATCCAGGTGGGAAGTCAAGGCTTGTACGTTGCCAGATTCCATAGCACCACTCTCATGAGCAGAGAAGGTACTAACTTCGTAGTACCCCTCTCATTGCACCAAGATCAACTTTGACCTCAACTCGTTCCTCAACGGGGATATTGACAATACCATTCAGGTGACGACTCATGTCCTGCAACCATATGTATGAATATACGTAGAACATGTATGTAAGGCTAGCAGTGCCGTTCTATTAAGGTTGCCAATGCCATTCAGCCAAATCACCCCCCCTCCCCCTCCTCCCCTTCCCTGCTGCCACTGCGTATTATCAATGGACCAGCACCACATGCCTGTTCACTATCGTCCCCTCTTCCAATCCCCCGCTCCTGTCCTGCCCGCCGGTAGTCTAAGTTATCATGGGTCAGAGAGATCTTTCCCCTCCAATTTGCCTCGCTTCCCTTACGTTCTCTCCCCCAACTCCCCCCCCCCCCCCTGCAATCCTCCTCCTCCACGGTGTCATTGGCACACAAGGAAGGGGAAGACGAGTTGGCGGCACACAATGAATCACCAGAGCATCTTTTCTTCAAGTCTTTCTGACCTTTCTTTCTTCTCCACCTTCTTCCCCCGTTTCCCTCCCCTGCCCCCGCCAGTCTATGGTGGCAATGGAGCAGAAGGAGATGGGGGAGGACCTTACCTCTGACTAACTCTCTCTGGTGCTAATCCATCTCCTTCCCCACTTTCCCTCTCCTGCCCCCACCAGTCCATGGTGGCAATGGAGCAGAAGGAGATGCTAGAGGAGCTGGCAGCGTCTATGCAAACTACGGTCTAAGCCTGACAGAGTCAGATTTGACATTCACAAGTGTAGGATAGGCAGAGGAGGACTTTTCTCTGAGAGGAGGGAAACAACCAAGTCTTGAGCTTGTTTGAGACCTGTCATTTATCCAAGCTGAAATGTGGGGTGCATTTTAACGAATGCTTACCAATGACTTCTATCGAGGCAATCTTTAAACGTGAGCTCGGAGCCGATTGTAATGAGATTCTTGGCGTTGTTGAAGGCTGCGTTCTGCAGGCGTATCAGCTCTGATGCGCCTAGGGCTCGGCCTGATACGCACATTGAGAAATTGAGGTTCAGAAATTGCGAATTGGAAATTGCAAAATTGAGGTTCGGACATTTGGAATTGAGGTTTGGAAAATTTGACGAATTTGAGTTGAGGTTAGGAAATTGGACATGAAATTTTCTGACAAATTTCAACATTTGGAATGTTGGAAGTTTCTTGGAAGGCCGTTATTACTGAATTTCGGAGGTGCCAAACTAATTGGCCAATGAGGTTGCAGCGCATCAGCTGATGCGCGCATGATGCGATTTTTCGAAGTCGCATGATGCGCGCATCAGTGATGCGCCTGATTGCTAGGAGAGGAAGCTTCTTGGAAAGCGGTCAAATTCCAAATTTCGAGGGCCAAAAAAGCCGTTCTGCAGGCATTCGGGCTTGCTTTGCCTCGGCAGCCATGCGCTTATCACGAGCCTTGAAAACGTGTCGGCAGGTTATCAAGGAAGGAACCTGGAACCATGGAGACTTGTAGCAATGTACATTGATGCGGGCTGATGCGCCTGCAGAACGCAACCGAAGTGTGGTCTCACAAGGCGTGATTACGTTGCACGTGCAATCTTTAGAAAACAAAGTAAATTGCTGGTTGGATGTACGATTTTTTGGGCATCACGAACCTCACCGTGTCGCCACCAAGAGAACCGAAGTGTCGTACTTTTTAGGGCCCAGAAACTTGCAAACCCTGCACAAACATTTTGGTGGGTCAGAAGAACATGTGGTGCGGACCCGTAACCACACCTACGGCGGATAAAAAAAATCCCTGTACAGTAGCTTCTGGAACCCCGCACGATCCTCCCCTAAGTACACCTTTATCCACTCCAAATGTCACAGCAACGCCCAAAACATAGTAGTGAAGCTCAACAGGTCGTGCCAGTCTCAAACGGTTATCTACTAGTTGTGACAATCAGCCATGGGCATTGGCTACCGTTTTTTTCGGCTCTAGTTTGTTAGACGTCTAGCAACCCACATGCAACTCCTAATCGGGAACCGAAGGACGTGGGGAGAGCACGCAAGGCCCGGAAGTACGTGGAGGTGAAACGACTAATCAATCCTAAAGAGATAAAACAGTGAGCTCCATCCCTACGTTCGATCAGGAAAGGTACTTTAATTCGGTCTATCATGGATTGTAAACCCAAAACCTTGAAACCCCGACACTGATCTCCGACCTTGAGTAAAAAAATCTTTATCTGTCTCATACTCTCCACTCTCACTCGCACATGCACGTACCTTCCTGCTCTATCTGCCCCTCTCACATTTTCCCTCTCGTCTTCCTCTTCCGTCGCGTCTCCGTACATCGCTGGGTTGCTCCATCCCTCCTCCCATGCGTGTGCCATGTGGCATGCGCCATGTAACACATGGTTTATGGTGGGGCATGTGTCACGACACAGTCCCAATTGTTAAAATAGTAGCTAGAACAAGGAGCCATAGCTAGGGTTTACCTAGCTAGGCAAGAGAGAATTAGACAAAGGAGGGTTTGACTAGAAAGAAGGGAGGTACAAATAGCAAGCCCTAAAAGGGTTTACTCACTATTGAGTACCCCACTACAGACTAGACAAGCATTATATTCTGACACCAACGTGTCCTCAGCGCTCTTCTTCAAGCACAACACAACGCTGGGTCCGCCCTACCAGGTGCCCCTCGTAGGTGACGACACCAACTTAAAAAACTTGAAGTTTTTTAAGTTGGTCCGCCCTACCAACTTCAAAAACTTCTCCATCTCCAACAAGGTGCACCCGCCCTCCCCCTCCATCTCCAACAAGGTCCGCTTCCGTCCCTCCCCACATGCCCTGTATAGTCCACTCCCTCCCCTCCCCCCAAAGCCCTGTCCAGTGCACTCAAAGGTCGGCATTTTCCCCCCTTCATGTCGTGCCAACCAATTTCAGTCCGCTACAATGTCGCGTTTTCTCCTCCCGATGCCCCCATCTCTCCACGTGCCCTCCCCGCATCACCTTACCTTATCGCACGTTGCGTAGGGCACGCCTGAGTTGATATTCCTGCACCGCCGCGCTGTTTCTCGCTGTCATTGCTGCATGCTACTGCTGCAGGGTGCCGCTGATGCATCGGATCATCTCTCACACGTTTCCCTCCCACACATGGCCTTCTCTATACAAGACCATCTCCTTCCGTCCGTGCTGCTCGTTCACTCTCCCGACTTTCCTCCTCGTGCGTTCATCCCCGTCCTTCCTGTTTGTGTGCCCTCCTTGGCGACATGTTGGTTGTGCCCATGTGGGTTGCTGGTGTATGTTGCTGGTGCGCGTTGCTGGTGCGCGTTGCTGGTGCGCGTTGCTGGTGCGCGTTACTAGTGCCATCATGCCAGGCTGCTCACATGAGCTGCTGGGTCTGGAGCAGGCCATGATGGACTGCCTCTATGTCAGATGTCAGTCCCTCCGCTGCACTGCCCATGATCGCCCACGATCGCCCATGATCGCCCATGATCGCCCATGATCGCCCATGATCGCCCATAATCTCCCATGATCGCCCATAATCACCCATACTCTCCCATAATCACCCATAATCTCCCATAATTGCCCACAATCGCCCATAATCTCCCATAATCGGCCACAATCGCCCAGAATCTCCCATAGTTGGCCATAATCGCCCAA